ATGGCATCTTTTGTGGAACTGCATCAACAACGTTGTCTGTCTATAGGGCAAATAGCATTTTAAGGGATTCAACTCGCTTGGGAATTGTCTGCTCAAGCTCACGTCATCAGGCAGGCATTACAGAAGCCTGAGGAGCAAATCAGTATGGTTTAGTTTTTATCCTGTAATTATAAGACTTTTGAATAATGCTGTATTTTAAATACTATTGATAGCTAGTATGTAATAATACATCACCAAATAGTTAAACTAGCATAGTTTGTTAAAATTACAACTATTATAACAAACTGTGCAATATTTAGGGTAGTGTGGAGCACAAGTAATGCAGGGTTAAATGTAACACAGAGTTTTAAGGTGTTTGCTCTGGGCTATTCATGGCATGCTTCCAATGTTTTGACCATAGTGTTAGCAGACGTCTTCCTGTCAATTATTGTAAAAGTTTGGTGAAATTTGGATGAGAAACACAAGAGAAACCATTTTTGCATTTTTTTTTTATAGTCAATATTTTTTATTAAAAAAAAATCTGTGAAAGTATGTAAGTAAAATCTTATATTGTTGTGATTATCGTCTTCTAGGCTAAAAGATGAAACCATTTTGAAAGATGTAAAAAAACACACAGTGACTGCAAGCCAGTTTTGAGGAAAACACGATACAGCAGGGTTAGTTGTAACAGGGTGTTACAATTAAGCCACACACTGATGGACACCAATTAAACCAACAAAATAATTTTTAGAATTTTGAGTGTAATGTTGAGAACTTTTTAAATAAAAATGTTTTTAATAGAAAATATAGTTTTATTATTTATTTAAAAAAGTGCAATATATAATAATGGATAAATGGATAATAATGCAAATAGATTCAAATGTGTTTATCCTATAAACAAATAAATAAATAAACATTCTGTGCCATGTAGAATAAAAAAGAAATTGCTGAGGAAATATAGCTACTATTTAAAGTAAACAGAAATTAAATTAACTGTGTGAATCTGCCTTTGTAAGCATGTGTTACAACTAACCCCCTGTCTGTTATAACTTGCCCTGCAGGTGGGGTAAATAGTACCATTTTTACTCCTGGCACCCTTGGCAATACTTCACAGAAACCATAGGTCCGGTGATCATAATTTCAGTGCTCATTTGTAGGAAAGGCTTGTGTGTCAGTGGTAAAAAAAAGGTCTGTCTAACCTCATTACTTTGTTCATTATTTGTCCAAAACCAAAAAGTGTTACTTTGTGCCCCGCTCTTCCCTATTTAAGTATTCACTTATTCCCTTCTGTGATTTTTTATTTTTTAATTGGGTTATATTTTAAATAACTATATTTTCGTAAATTTATGAAAATATAAAAGCTTAGGATTTTTATTGTGTTTAATGTTTTTTTATGTTCTTGTTGGGTCTGATGCAACATAATTTCATTCTGCATTACAATTTATTGAACGACAAAAATAAAGGAAACTGAAACTGAATAAGCACTAGTTAGCAACAGCACTATCAGTAATATGCTATCATTATCAGCTTCCTGAATCTTCCATCTCCAATTAAGACTTTCTAAGCATTCAGGAAATATATGAAAAGATTCCTTTATAAATGTGGCTGCTGTGGCTTTTTTAGTCTAGGCTATTGTAGTGTGAGAAACCTAAATGCGAAGATGCGTAATACACCGTATTGGTTCTTCTCCGCATCCGTTGTGGCCGGCACAACAACTCGAGAACCAATTACGGCATAAAAGCAGGCCCCATTATTGTGTGTAGCCAAATCTGGGGCGACTGCCAAGTACGCCGATCGCAAATTCGCTTCATTTTGGTGGATGTCTGGAGAGACCAAATCTTCTCGGTTGCCTTTGATTGGCAGTGTGAAGATTAGTCAGTTTGTATGAGAGCACTCGGGGTTATTACTTGAATTGGTACTGCGTTTTCTGGTTCGTCCTCATCGCTTGGGTGAATTATTTGACATAAACAGGCAAACAACAAGTGAAGGGAAGTGTATGTGGAGGCCTTCTTGCTGCTAGTAATTGCCTGTTGTCTCTTGGGCTCGCTGTCTGGAGAACTGGCTGAAATTCCCACTTTATTTGCTGACAGTTGTGTAGGACGCCAGTGATGGAGAGAGTTCTGAATACCATCATTAGTCCCCGGCTGGAGAAACAAGCTCTTCGTGCTGGGAAAGAGGGACAAAACGCGCACAGAGGAGCAGAGAGGAGTAAAGCGGGGTATGGAGACGAGTGAGTCAAAGGATGGAGGTGGGAAAGCTAGATGAACCAAGAAACGGGGAGAGAGGGTAAAAATGTGCATTTAGCAAGATGTTGTTTGTGCGTGCTGCTGTCAGCTGGTGGAGAGGATCATCTTATCATCGCTCGACAACACTGACATGCAGCATTCAATATGTATTACGGATGTTAGCAACATATTGAGTCCTTCACCGTAGTGGGTGAACACATGCTAGATGAGTAATTAGAGATGACAACTTTATAAATGCCTTAATTGTTTTGTCATTAATGTTTTATTGGATTGCCAGCTCCAGCGCATATGTGATTGTGAGGGGGTGTTTAACAGGCCTACCATGAGACTTAAACCTCTTGGTTGTTTTATGGTGTTAACAAAGGCAGTTATCGTTTCTTGGAGAGTGCAGGACAAGAATTAGCACAGGATAGCACAAGATTAGCCAAGAACTGAGTATTTTTTACAGATTGATGTTTTTAAATTGTATTTAATGAAAAGTTATTAATATTCTGCCATCATTTACACACCATTGACTTGTTCTAAACCATTTTGGTGATTGTTTTGACTACAAACGTATTTTAAAAGAATTAATTTATCCATTTTCTTTTCGGTTTAGTACCTTTTTTAGTCTAGGGTCCACAGCGGATTAAACTGCCAACTTATCCAACATATACTTTACACAGCGGATGCCCTCCCAGCTGCAACCCGACACTGGGAATCATCCATACACACTCATTCACACGCAAACACTACGGACAATTTAGCTTACCCAATTCACCTATACCACCTTTTTGGACTGTGGGGGAAACCGGAGCACCAAGAGGAAGCCAAACAGAAATGTCAACTGACCGAGCCAAGACTCGAACCCGTGACCTTCTTGCTGTGAGGCGATTGTGCTACCCACTGTGCCACCGTGCTGCCTTTTAATAGAATGTATATTTTTAAATGAAGTTTTATGAACTAATTTCAAGAAGTGCACGTGATAGGATTGATTACAGCTGATCTCCCATCAACAATCATTGCTAGGCTAATCAGATGAATTCTAGCTTCCAATAAATAAACCCATTTATACTACCTTCCTTTTCTTTGTTTTGAAGAATCCCCCATCCACCTCATCTCCCCCTTTTCTCCTTTACCAGGGGGAGCTCTCGAGACATACCTGATCTCGGACCCCCTGTCATGGTGCATGACCAGGCAAGAGTCCTGGGCTAGAGGTCTGTATTCCCGCGAACCGCGGGAGCCACGGGACCCGACCAGATTTTTTTCTGCATGGGAATAAATTTCCAAATAAAGCGGTTGGTAACTGTTGTAATTTTGGACGGGAGCGGGCGGTCTAACATTATTGCTCCCGACTCTCAAGCGAGCGTGTATGTGTATTTGTATGTATGTGAATTTAGCTTGTTTATTGCTGTCTATGTGTGCATGTGTGTGCGAATGAGAGAGAGAGAGAGCTTTATGCTGTGTGTGTGTGTGTGTGTGTGTGTGTGTGTGTGTGTGTGTGTGTGTGTGTGTGTGTGTGTGTGTGTGTGTGTGTGTGTGTGTATGTGTATGTGTGTAAATGAGAGACAGCGTGAAACTGTCTGTGTGTGTCACTTGCTTGGTGCTATGTGTGTGTGTGTGTGTTTATACAGACAGTTTGTTATAGGCTGTCTGGACTCTGTATAGCTGGATGGTTTTCAGTTTTGTTCTTGTTCAAAATCTGAACGTGGTCCCAAGAGACACAGTTAAAAAATAAGTTAAGGTTTGTGTTAACTAGAGGTTTCTGAGACTTTTATTTTAGTATGTTGATTGCAGTATGTTGACTTCTAGCTGAAACTAAAAATTAAATAGGGGCGGGGCTTTCTTATCATTCCCTCATAGCAAACTAACGGCAAAAGCTGATTTATGCTTCCGCATCAAGCGCACGAGTATGCTAAAGCACAGCCTTCGTGCTGTCGCTCAGCCCCCGTCGTGGCTGACGCTGACACGCACCTCTCAAAAAATGTAAGTACACATCACAACGATAAGTATCGCAAACTCTGTGATTCGTCGGCTTGGTCACAATGACAAGCGTGGGCGGTGCTAAGCGCCGTGAGCCTGACGGAGTGAGTGTTTACAAACGTTGAGTTCTGTGAGGGAGCTCCAGATGGAAACTTTTTGTTTTCTGTTTACTTTATGATTAAAGTTGCACATTCGCCGGTTCCCGCCTTTGAATAAGCGAGTTTTAGCTAATTTTAGCTTAAAAAAAACCCACCCCTGAAGAAAATCGACACAGAGGAACATAAAAACCTGCTGCCAGCTAGCGTTTCGGAAGTGTTATTGCAGAGCAACACAAACAACACGCAGAAGTATAAATGCACTGCTACATGCAAGGCAGGCACCGTGGGTCACAGCGACCACTCGACATAGAAGTATAAATCAGCCTTAAGAGGGGCGTGGTTAAGAATATTGTGGCTGAAGCCATCAAACTGATATCAACAGAGAGCCACCACTCCCAATATAGAAGCAAATAGTCAGATTTGATTGATGATTTCCAAAATAATAGTTTTTTTAATAGATGAACTTGAACTGAAGAAAGAATAACAATGTGCACTAGCAAAATAAACACTTTTCTTTATTTCACAAAGACTTTAATACAAGAGCTCTCTTAGCTCAATAATTTGATTGAATAACATCAAGCACATGTTGTTAGTTCCAAATGGAAGCAGACACACATTTCCAAACAGTATACGAATCCATATTATGAATGTTTATTACTTTGCAGGTGTAGTAAACAGTATAATCTGATCTAATCTGCCTTTCTTTGTGTTTCAGACTCCAGCAGATCAGTGTCGGTATGTTGTAGGCAGTATACTGTGTGAAAATGAAGAGAAACCCGACGAAGAACTCCAGCGTCTATATGAGAAGTTTGGCTACAAGGTGGTGTCCTTCCCAGAGGTCACATGTGCCGTAACGTCCACGTTTCCAAACAGATGCACTCTGTCCCCTGTCTGCGGTGCTTACAGAGTCTATCCTGAACTACAACAGTATATAAAGGTAACATGCATGTTTATTATTAAATTTGACTCTACAATTTGATTGTACTTTCAATAAGCAACAATGAAAACTGCTGAAAAATATAATAAATTTTACCTATTACCCAGTTATATTACTCAATTTATAGATTACACCTAACTGCACTGCTAATGTGTGATGTGTTGCATACTTTAATTGAGTTGCAGGGTTTATTACTAGATCATTTCCAGCATCCTCTAATTGCTAATATATGATAATTTTTTTGATTTAGTAAATTACTATTTACAACATCTTATCAAAGTTGAAACTGTCTGAACCCTGCAGTATTTATTGTAATTTCCATCCCGCTTTATGTGCCTTTACATCACTATTGGTCAATATCTGGTACTGTCCGTCTAATGGAGGACCGTATAGCATGAAATGTGTAAATGGAAGGAAACGGCGTTAATAACTTTTGAATGGACTGATAACTGGATAGAGGGAAGGGAAAGAGGCTGTTAATGAGGTCAGTTTGCAATGGTTGGTGTCTAGCAGCAGGAGTTCAGTGCTGTGAGATAATGTAATGAATGATGGGATACCATGTGTGAACCATAATGACACGTGAAACTTGAGGTGCTTTACACACGAAAGAGAAGAGCACAAGGAAAGCATTAGCAAGCAGCTAGCACTGCCTTGGCAACCATCTTTGCATTGTAATTGATGTTTATATTGAATAGCCAACATGGAATGCACAACCAAATTTGGCATCCGTGTGGCTCACAATATTGGCAAAACAGCCTGTCCTAGTTGCCGTGCTGGCACAGAACAGTCTCATATAGTTACAGTGTCATCTGTAACAGATGCTCGCTTATTTTCCTAGATGAAAGCGCAATTTGTCTTTACTATTCTTGGACACGAGGAATGTTTAATTCATGGCATAAGACTGTTATTTAAATAATAAAGTAAATAATAAAATTTAAGTACATTGTTTAAATTACTTAGTATTTCTTTGATGGGTTTACAACAAATGGAGGAGAGTAAATGTCTTGGTAAAGCTATGAAAATGATATCTGATAATAAGCATCCACTGTACAGAGCTATTGTCTTAAGGATTATGGTTTAGCATACTGGTGTATCCTAGGGGAAAAAATAGGAGGGAAATCTTTTATATCACATGCTAGTTTTGGATAATTAATAGGGCTGTCAATCGATAGTGAATGTGGTTATACTCATGGCAGGTATTATTTGGAAATTTGTTCATTTATTTCCTTAATTTGGCAACCATCAAACGTCGTCCGGTAAACGGTTTGAATTTCTGGGGTCAGACATCCCAACTCTCCTGGAAGTTGTGGGAGTATCCCGCAAATGCATAGAGACTCCCGGATGCCCGCAAATGAATGATAATCTCCTGGAAATTGCACTCATCCTGTCCTTAAATACGTTGCACACCTCTCTCCATCGCATCCCTCGTAGCTCTTCAGGTCCGTCGTGTGCAACTCACCCCCACCGCTATTCAAGTACTTCTCGCGGACACACGCCCCTACTCGGATACGTTGCTCACTCAGATACCCCCCCCCCCCCCCCAACCGCTCTTAAGGCACCCACTAGCCCGCTACCTCCCGCAAATCAACTCTGTATCCCCCGGAAATGACTTTTACCAACTTGGGATATCTGTGGTGTTCCATTTGGGCAAACACTACATACTATGCTGTTGAGTGTGTAAGTGCATAAGTACATAGTGCATACTTGCATAGTGTATAATGTGACATTTGGGACGAAGATTTGGTCTCATTATCATATCATATCACATTAAATGTTTTTATTTTTTTATTTTGAACACTATTTTCTGTGCCTGTTAAGAGTATTATGACTCAGTCTAGGAAATGCTGCTCCATCTGAAAGTGAGTGCTTGAGATTTACTAGAACCAGCTTTCCTCACAAAATGCACATAAAAATCCCCTTCGATTAATCGGTGAACTTTATCACAGGCAGTGAAGCTTCTAAATGGGAGGTTGTTATAAGTAAGATGAGTGCTGTGTTAAATTCAAATGGTTTTATTTTTATTTTATGTTTATTTGTTCTTTGTGAAAACCACATTTTGAAAGTAGTCACTGAAAGAGAATATCAGAAACATTTTTCCCTAGTGGATGGATAAAGCACTTTTATTCTTAAAATAAACATTTCTGACCAATTTATGATGTAGTTGTATGTGTTACAAAATCAAATTGCTAGCTGACTGATTTTGAGTCTGTCTGGTGAATCTTTTCACACTTCCTCAGCAGCCGCAGTCCTGCAGAGCTTTGCTCCAGCCCTAATCAAACACACCAGAACAAGATAATTAGGGTCTTAGTGTTACTACAAAGCTTTACAGGCAGGTGAGTTTTTAACAAGACCAGATCAAAACTCTGCAAGACTGCAGCTCTTCAGAACTTGAACTTGCCAACCTCTGGTCTAGCCTTTTGATTATTTCTGCTGATGAGAGGTTTGGTCACTGCAGAGTGGACTTTCAGTTCAAATTCTCATAAACAGAGAAACACTGCATGCCAAGAACCTTACCCTGTTCACCACTGATCTGGTGAGTAATCCAGCTGGAGTGTTGTAGCATTTATCCATAGATATTCTCAGCATTGTCTAGTCCTCTTGTATGTTTTGTCTGTAGTTGAATAATGAGGGATATTGGGGGACTTGAATGAGTTAGTGATGTCTTAAAGATGAGATATTGTTATTTTAGAAATAATAGATTTGAAATTAACTAATTTTCTTGCTATGACTTTAATATGGTCTTATGAAATCCAATTAGTTTTTTCCCCAAAAAATCCCACCCCCAATTAAAATTTTTCTGTAATCCACTTTTACTATTTAAATCATGAAATGTAAATAGTTTAACAGTAATTTATTAACAGTTTAAAAAAGTAAAATAGTTTTGTAAAATGTAAATGAAAACTATTTGATATTTGTTATCACATACCAATTTATTACTTATTTACCTATACAGGGTATCTGCAAAGTCTTAAAATGTTTTAAATCTCAAAAGCTAAATTTTTGGCCTTAAAAGTCTTAAATCAACTAAAATTTTGTGTTTAAATCTTCTTCTTTTGTTTATTATTATTGTACACTGAAATAATTGACAGCTATGTTTTGGTCTATTATTGGTATGAGTTTAAGGGTTTGTGAATGGATATATTTGAAAATTAATAAAGAAATAATCAAAAAATATTATTAAAATAACAAAAACAGTATTATTATAGTATTATTAAATGTATTAAATGTTCATTATTTTTAGATAGGGCAAGTGAAAATGTTTTCTAACTGGGATATAAAAAAAATCCTTTAAAATTGATTTAAAAAATCTTAAAAAGTTTAAAATTTACCCTGCTATAACAATGTTTGAAACGCTCTTAGGTGTTTTCAACAAACACTAATCAGGTTCAGCGCGGCTGCTATGTGTTTCTCAAAGATGCGAAGTTTAAGTTTTTCAAAGATTGCTTTTGCCTTTCTTTTATTATAAGAAACAGACAGATATTTCTTTTCCATTTTTTTTTGAAAGCGTAATTGGAAACTTCAGTGTTTATAAATATTGCATCATTTAATATAATTCCATCATCACTCACACAAAATGCATTTCTGTCTTTCTATTTGTCGGTTAATGAAACCATGTCAAAGATCAGGCGTTTGTAGATAAATAAAATTTTGAAAAGGATTTAATCTGGAAATTGGACAATTCTCTGATAATTCATGTAAAATAATGTTGTACGGTATGTCTTGATTCCATGATTGCGTCTGTGATTTTTGCATCATGGAAAGTGTCGTCTCTTGAGTCTTCATCTGGACTACCTGCTGTCATATGGTTTCAGTGAAAAACTGGCTTTTTTTTAATGGCCAGTTAAATAAGGTTTTCAGAAAATTAAGGGAATTGCCAGATCAACACAAATACATGTAGGAAAATCAACACAAGTGGAAGAAATCTAAAGTGTTTTTAAATTTTTATCAGTTCCAGATATAAAAATAGCTTGGATGTCATTAAATAGGATGAATCAGTGACATCGAAATTTAGAAATCTTTTTCTATTTTTATTTCCATTTTATCGTACAGATATTATTCATATTGTGGTCTTACAAATATATTTAAAAAAGGTATTACCTGTAAACATTTCATTTACAGTACTCATTATATTGTTTAGCAATAGCTAAAACTATGATGTAAGAACAGTGAAAGCAGTCCATTTCCCTTGACCATTCAATACTTCTTTTTTTTAATTTGCTTTCTCTTCAATTTTTCCATCTGTAACTCTCTCTCTCTCTTCCTCACTCTCTCACTCACACTCACACACAAACACACACACACACACACACACACACACAGACACACACACACACACACACACACACACACACACACACACACACACACACGCACGCACCTCGTTTCTACCTTGGCTAGTCTGACAGCTTATTAAGAGTAGTGCAATAGTTACATGAGCAGTTCAGTGTAGGAGTCAGCACAAGATGCATGTTGCATTATGAGAGAGTGTGTGTGTGAGCAAGTTTGTAATGTGATGTATGTGGAGTGGCAGAGTGTACAAAGTTGGGACCCAGCAGATGAATAATGGAGAGACATTCATAAATGCACGTGTGTGTAGGCAGGGACATGTCTTTAGGATGATTTATTGAATAAGGTCTGGCAGAAGTTCAGACTGCCGTTCGCTTTATTATGGACGTAAAGTAAGACTTCCTGCAAAAGACCTCTGTACTCCCACCACTGACACATGGAGAATGGACTACATTTAAACCACAAGCTAGATAAGACGCGTAAATCATCAAAGTGCCTGATATGTCTGATGTCTAGTGCTCTCTAGACTAGAGAGTGTTTGCTGTTGTACACTTGAGCAGATCAGCCCTCAAAACAGTACAAATTGTTTCATCCAAAATGTCTAGAATTTCCTTCTTCTGAAAGCATTAATGCATTGCTACTGTCTAGCAGGTATTGTTTGTTGTCATATTTTTGCGAGCAGTGTTTTGTTTACAACTGTCAATTTTCAGCGG